GAGATAATAGGCCAGTGGGTGCGGCTTGGTGCATGGCAGAGCCATACATTTAAACTGTGTTTTACCATCCCGTGTTTATGAGAAGGGTCATGGCTCAGTGGGAAAGCAGCTGCTTTGTATGTGAAAGGTCCCAGGTTCAGTCCCTAGCATTTCCAGTTGAAAGGGTCAGGGCCTGAGCCAGTGCATGAGCAGAAGGAGGTGGCTCCAGGCTTGGGGAAGGGAACGGAGAGGAGATAGGAGGGTGGCTTGGACCTGGCTGGACCAAGTGGCTTTTGGAGTACTGGGTCATTTACACAAAATTCAGAAATTCTGAATATTCCCAGGGAGACATGAAAGGAACCAGAGGATACAACTGGGACCTTGACGTTGGTTTCCATAGTATGTCCTGTTTGTGACTGAGAAAGGGTCTGTGGTAATAAGGGACCACTGGGTGGCTTTGCTGAGCAGAAACAATGCCTGGGGCCAGTTTTGTGTTGTTTCATGGCTGGGGTGGCCATTGCCCAAGCATTAAAATTGTGCTGAGTTCTGAGCTGATGTGATTTTTTTGTTGGCCTCTAAGTCACAACAGACTTATGGCAACCCCGTAGGGTTTTCAAGGCACGAGACATTCAGAGGTGGTTTCTCATTGCCAGCCTCAGCATTGTGTCCCTCCTGTTCCTTGGTGGCCTCCCATCCAAATACTAGCCAGGATAGACCCTGCGTAGCTTCTGAGATTTGATGGCACCAGGCTAGCCAGGTTTTTGTGAATTTCTAAACTAGGTAGAAATTGATCAGAAGTTGTTGCACACCCCCCCCCCCCCAGCATGTATATCAGTGCTGCCAATTTAGGAGGCTGTATCATACACCTAGTGGAGCTGCGGTGGCTCAAGTGGTTAAGACGCTGAACTGCAGGCTGTGGAAGGTCAGTAGTTCAGCAGTTCGAGACCCGGGTGCCGCATGATGGAGTGAGCTCCCGTCTCTAGTTCCAGCTCCTGCCCACCTAGCAGTTTGAAAGCAAGAAATTGCAAGTAGATAAATAGGTGCCACTTCGGTGGGAAGGGAACAGCGTTCCGTGCGCCTTGGTGTTGAGTCATGCTGGCCACATGACCACGGAAAGGTCTTCGGACAGCGCTGGCTCTTCGGCTTTGAAACGGAGATGAGCACCACAACCCTAGAGTCGGATTCGACTGGCTTTCGAGCAAGGGAACCTTTACCTTTATCATACACCTAAAAACGTGTCCCAGAATTTTTTCATTAATCTCTAAGGTGCCATGGGTCTCATGTTGATTTTGGTGTAACTGTTGAATATGCTTTCCTTCAGAAGTTTCCCCATGGTTTTATCTCCTCGCTATGATGTAACTACTGGGCATGTGATAGGCTCCTAGAGCAAAGGGAAAGAAGCTTTTGACAATAGATCATTTCTACTTCTATGCTGTGTCCCCACTAATAGTCTGGCAGGACTTGAGCTGGTTCTGCTTCTGTGAGGTTTCTACATGAGTAATAGTAACTTGCTGCTTAATGACTGCTGGGAGTTGTAAAAAAAACAGCTTGCCCTGGTATATGTGTGTGGGGGAAGTGGTAAAAATGGAAAACAAAGTTCTGGAGATAGGTTTAGGTGGGTAACCGTGTTGGTCTGAAGCAGTAGTCCAGCGGCACCTTTAAGACCAACAAAGTTTAATTCTGGGTGTACGCTTTCTGTGCGTGCACACTTCCTCAGATACATCATCATGTATCTGAAGAAGTCTGCAAGCACACGAAGGTTATACCCAGAATTAAACTTTGTTGGTCTTAAAGTTACCGCTGGTCTTAAAGTTACCGCTGGACTCAAACTTTGTTCTAAGTTCTGGAGACTTTTTCTTATTCAAAAGATAGTTGAGTGTCTTTTTCAGACGTTGTAGATGGCCCTACTCAGTGTGAGAACATGGATTAGCCTGCACTACTTGCTGTGGGGGCCAAAAAAAATGTTGTTTACTCCCTACTGGAAGAGTGGGCCAGACCGATCAAAACTGGTTGGTGTGGAAGCAAATCGGTGATGTTTGAACACATGAAGATGCCTTTTACTGAATCAACCAATTGGTCAGTCAAGCTCAGTGTTAATAGGTTCTGATTGGCACTGGCTCTTCCAGGTTCTCGTATCTTTCCCATTCCCTGCTGCCTGATCCATGTTACCTAGAGATGCTGGGGAGTGAATGTGGGACTTTCCGCATGCAAAGCAGATGTTCTGCAACTGGCCCCCATTCCTACCCTGAAAAGCAGGGTGGATTTGATTTAAATCAAATCAATTTAAATCACTAGTCACTAAGACTAGAGGTAAATCATGGTTTTCTAGATAAAGATTCATTCTTGCTGGTGTAATCTTAATATTTACAACCAGATGAAGGTTTTGTTTTTAGGATAACAACTTTTCAGATTAGTTTTACAGTTGCATAAAAAAAAAATACTGATTTGGTTATACTATTAGAAACGCATCATAGATAGGTCATTCAGAAACTACTGCGAGGCGAACTATCTCCAGTTTAATAGGTTAATCATTCCTATTTGAACAACTTTTCTGCTGTACTTTATTGGAAGGATTATATAATAACAATTTAGATATGCCTTCTTGCTTACACCGGTATCGAAACAATGGCCCATCCCATCGAGCTTGGGATAGCTATAATTAGAATGGGTCTGTTCCGTCTGCGACCCACAAATATGCAATACTTAGCCTAGTGCTGTGGCTTTCCAAGTGCCTTAATCTTGCTTTTGCAGTACCAATCAGGAAGAAAATGTATGTTCATCAAGTTCCTGGTAGGCTGTTGTGTGTAGGGATATGGCTGAATTGATAGCCACATATTATTGCCCATGCCTGTTTTAGGAATTGGCACAATACAGCCAAGAAGAGAAAATACCCGATAGGCACATCAGTGTGTGTAAAGTGCCATTGAGTCACAGCCAACTTATGGGAACCCCATGGGGTTTTCAAGGCAAGAGATGTTCAGAGGTGGTTTTCCACTGTGTAGCAACCCTTTAATTAAGAATATTTCCTGGCTGCTTCACTTTAAGCAGAAGTCAGCTCAGATGACCATGTATGACATCAGATATACCTAGCAGTTTCAGTTTGTCTGAGTGTCCTGCAGTCTTTATTGTGTTAGATGCATATACAAGGAGCACCAGCTATAAAACCAGAGTGAGTAACACCTGAAAGGACTCGGAGTGGCATCTCGGAATCTTTTATCTGGCTTCGCTTCCTGCTCAGTTTCGCATCTCTCCGTACATGGCTACCGTCTTACAACTTCCATAGCGCTTGAGTTTTTACTGTGTTCCAGTGAGAGAAATGATGAATAAAGGAAGTTATTCACATGGTTTACATGACTTATTTTAGGAACAGAGGCATTGAATTGTAGTCTTTCTTCCCCCCCCCTCCCCCAACGAAATCACATTCATGTGATGAGGGTACTTCCAGACTGCATTCTGCAGTGCCGGTGATCATGTCCATAAGTGGCACCCTGAAAAGAGTGGGCCTTGCTCCTGTAACTACTCAAGGAAAATGGATCAGTGTAGAGATCCAGTTTGTTGTAGTGGTTAGGAGCACAGCCTCTAATCTGGGAGAACTGGGTTTGATTCCCCACTCCTCCACATGCAGCTGCTGGTGTGACCTTGGGTCATTTACAAGTTCTTTCAGAGCTGTTCTCTCACAAGCAGTTCTCTCAGAGCTCTCTCAGTGCCATCTACCTCTTAGGGTGTCTGTTGTGGGGAGGGGAAGGGAAAGGAGATTGTAAACTGCTCTGAGACTCCTTCGGGTAGTGAACGGCAGGGAATAAATCCAATCTCCTCCTCCTCCTCCTCTTCCTCTTCTTCTTGAATTTAGGGCATGACACTTAAGTTCTCACTTCCATTCATTCTTATTACAGCTCATGTGTTTGTAAACGCTTGAATTATAGGATGCAAAGGGCTTGGCTTGGATGTGGACAACAAGGCACTAATTAGCAGTGAGATTTGGACCCAAGCTTTGCCAGTTCAATCACAGCTGGGTGCCTAGGCACAGTAGAGAACACGAAGAGGTGTTTGGCACTTGTTTGAGCTTACGGAAGATACGTCAGTTCAGGCCCTGAGGTTCATTGGAACATCACCACCTTGAAATGGCTGCTAGTTTCCCAGATACAGTGCTTCTTCCGAAGCAAAACCCACCTTTGCTCATGTGGCATTTAAGCAGAATGCTGGATTCATCCTACAAGCTTTCCTCAAAGGGCGGGAGTAATTGTGCCTGTCCTTCCGGATGAAGCCCCAAGACTTGACCAGCTTGATTTCAGCTCAGAGCTCCCTTGACAAGTACGACAAGGTGTAGCACAAATGACAGATCCCTAAAGTATGTGCCGAGGACTAGGGAGAAGTGCTTAGTTGCTGTTGGGCGCACAAGTGGTGCAGATCGTACAGTTTAATTGCTCATTAGCAATTCAGCAGCTAGTTCCTGGCTCTTAGGAGGGGTGTTGAGGAAACACTGGTGATATCTTAACAGCTTTCTACATTTAAGACTCTAGATCAGGAAGTGTAATACTGCTGTTCTGTACCCTAAATGCGGAGCTGAGCATATGGATGTTTCAGTGCGCAAGATCCCCCAAGGGCTATACCAGTAGTTTCTAGTCCAAGCAAATCAGCGGGATTGGCAGCACCCTTTGCCTTGAGGTGCTACAGTGGTTAAGGAAATTGCTGTCTGCAAGTTTCTAAGAAGTAGATCGAGCTAAATTGGTTAGAGCCAGTTTGGTGTGGTGGTTAAGAGTGGTGGCCTCTAATCTGGAGAACCAGGTTTGATTCCCCACTCCTCCTCCACATCAGCTGCTGGGTGACCTTGGGTCAGTCACAGTCCTCTCAAGAGCAGTTCTCGAAAGAGCTGTCTCAGCCGCACCTACCTCACAGGGTGTCTGTTGTGGGGAGAGGAAGGCAAGGCAATTGTAAGCCACTCTTGAGACTCTGAGTGAAGGTCGGGGTATAAATCCAATCTCTTCTTTGGGCAGTAAGTTGTAGCCATAGTACTGAACGCCATGCGGCACGTGGTGGAGCCACAGGTTGGGCTGCCATGCCATGGCTTCGGCAGTCCAGATTCTGTTGAATAGTAGCAGCTGGGAAGCTGTTTGCCCTTCACCAGCCATGAGGTGCTTTTCAAACCTTTCCTTTCTAGGGATCTCAGGACAGACTGTTTTCTCAGCCATTATCAGCACATAGCATCTCAACTTAGTCTTTTCCCCACTTTATCTGCAAATGCACACATGGTTTAAGAACTGTTTTTCGGAAAGTGATAAAACCTTTGTATGGTGTACGCTAGCAAGTACATCAGGCCAGGCTTCAAGCAGCAAGAGCATTGCCTGCTTTGGGAGAGGGAGGACTCTTCTAAGAAGTGCTCCGTTAAACGCTTCTGACCTGGACGGTCTAAGCTAGCTCAGACTCGTCAGCAGTGTTCCCTCTAAGCTGAGTTAGTGTGAGCTAGCTCACAGTTTTTTAGCCTCCAGCTCACACGTTTTTGTCTTAGCTCAGGAAAGAAGGCTCCAGAGCAAACTAATTTATGCAGCAGCCAAATCACTCGCTCACAACTTTAATGCCAGTAGCTCACAAAGTAGAATTTTTGCTCACAAGACTCCACAGCTTAGAGGGAACATTGCTCGTCAGAGATCTCAGAAGCTAAGCAGGGTTGGACCTGGTTAGTGCTTGGATGGAGGTCAATGGTTGCTACGCAGAGGCAGGCAATGGCAAAACCACATCTCTTCCTCTCGTGCCTTGAAAACCCTACAAGTTGCTGTTAACTCAGCTGGACCTTGGTGGCACTTTCCACTACATGTGAATTAACCATAATCTTATGGCCTCCTTTGCAAAGCCTGGAATGTAGAGGGCTGCATGTTGGACCAGTGCGCCCTTGCAACCTGTGACATTGTATGGGTATGGCAAATAGCCAGGGCAGTGATCTGTGGCAGGAATTCATCAGGTCACAGTCGGACTATTCTGGCATTTGTGGAAGATGGAAGTAGGTGGAGAATTCCTGTCGCCGATTCCTGTCTAGCACAATAGGCGATGGTTCGAGGCACCAGTTCTTAAATCCACTTCCAATATATTTTAATCTTTTTAATTGTTGTCTTTTCTCACCTGCTCTTTCTGTTGTGGACCTGTCAGGTTCATCCATTCGTTATCTGAAGCGTCAAATTGACATCTTTTTAAGGACTGGGGAGGCATGATGGTTTGAAAGAGGGCTCATGGCTCACAGTGTGAGCCTGTCACTTTGGCCTCAAGAAAGCAGGCTTGCAGGAGACGTGTCTTTTTCAAAAATCTGCTTTGAACAATGAGGACTGTAGGTCAACAAATTTCCATTCTCATGGTGTCCATGAATCCCAAACCACTTCCAGCTCCCTAAAACTATATTTTGTCTTCAGCCATTGGCTGCCTTTAATTTAGTGGCAACCATTGGTTATAGACTGCTGCCTGTGTGAACCCACAAGCAATAGGTGGTATCGGTCTCTGCTTCTGTCACTGTTGTGGTGTGGGCTCCTTCAATAAAAGACCGTTTTCTTTCTCCTGCAGGTGAGGAGGGCTTAATCCTGTTAGAAGCTGGAAAACATGAATTCCCTTTCAGCTTTCAACTCCCCCAGCAGTAAGTGAAGCCCATACAGTTTGGGATACTCTGGTTTGAATTGCATGTGTTTGGTTTATGCAGTTTATACTCCACTCTCCGACTGTGACTCAAGGCCGATTACAAAATCTAAAAATAATGCAATGAAAACAGCATAAGCTGTGCAATAAAATCGCAGAAGTTGGAAAACAGGGTAGTAAAAACAAGATAATATATACTACAAACAATGCTCCCTCTAAGCTGTGAAGTCTCGTGAGCAAAAATTCTACTTTGTGAGCTACTGGCATTAAAGTTCTGAGCGAGCGATTTGGCTGCTGCATCAATTAGTTTGCTCTGGAGCCCTCCTTCCTGAGCTAAGACAAAAATGTGTAAACTGGAGGCTAAAAAACTGAGCTAGCTCACACTAACTCAGCTTAGAGGGAACACTGGCTACAGACTACAATCTTGTTCCTTCTATGAAAGCGTCCTCCTAAGTGATTTCATTATAATGCAACCAAATCTTCCTTATTAAAAAAAAGTTTTAAAAGAATGTAATGGGAAATGTTCTTTAAAAACAATGGACAGGTATGACCAGAATGTATTATATTTAGTTCCCCAAAATCCAAATTCTGACTCATATCTAATATCATTTTGCTTCATACTGAGAGTCTGAAAAAGTCTGTTATTCACCATTAGAGAAGAGCTCTGGAGCAGTGTTCCCTCTAAGATGAGTTAGTGTGAGCTGAGCTCACAGTTTTTCAGCTTCCAGCTCACAGATTTCTGTCTTAGCTCAGGAAGGATGGCTCCCGAGCAAATTAATTTATGCAGCAGCCAAATCGTTTGCTCACAACTTTAATGCCAGTAGCTTACAAAGTAGAATTTTTGTTCACAAGACTCCACAGCTTAGAGGGAGTGTTGCTCCTGAGAGGAAGGATTTGAAGTTTAGGAGCTCTCTTATCCTGGCTCTTATTGACTGTGACAAGCAGGGTTCCTATTCTCCACATCCCGGGGGAGGGGGGGGAGAGAAATACAGAATGGCGCACAGCAACTTGGAATTCACTGCCACAGGAAGTGGTGGCGGCTACAAGCATGGACGGCTTCAAAAGGGAATTAGATAAGCATATGGAGCAGAGGTCCATCAGTGGCTATTAGCCACAAGATATAGATAGGGGCTCTGGGGCAAGTGATGCTCTGTCATCTTGGTGCTTGGGGGGGTCAACAGTGGGAGGGCTTCTAATGTCCTTTCCCCACTGGTGGACCTCCTGACGGCACTTGGTATTTTTGGCCACTGTGTGACACAGAGCGTTGGACTGTATGGGCCTTTGGCCTGATCCAACATTGGCGTCTCTTATGTTCTAACCCCGTGGTGAGAAACCTTGGGGAAAAGGTGCCTTCTTGCTGTCTGCTGCAGTCTTCTCCCCCACACCAGCAAGGAGTTGTCCTAACTGGTAGAACAGCAGGACAGGTGAAGGCAGCCGTTAGTGTGAGCTGCTTGCCCAATTTCATATTTGGATATAAAATAAAAGATACGAGCATTAGCTGATTCAGACGTCGTAGTTTATAGCTCTTTCGCTCCTATTGTGTGGCTCCCAGCAGGGCATTTAGTGTTCCCCTTCCTGGGTAGGCTTGAGGAAGGGGGGAGCAGAGAAAGAAAGCAACTTTAGCTTTAAATGCATTAAATTAAACCCCCAGCCTACAGATATCATTGGGCAAATAAATATCATTATCAATATCTATTTTTATCCCTTTTGTATCTATTTTTGGCAGTCTCATTTAATGTTCATAAAAGGCAGATTTGCATATTATTCAATAAAAACATGTCTGTAATCTTTGTTCCTGTCACGTGGCTCTCAAACATCTGACGTTTATGCTACGTGGCTCTTATGTTAAGCATGTTCGGCCACCCCTGGTTTATAGCTTTTCAGAACCCCGAACCGGGGTTTATTCTCTCACGGAGGGCTTGATGGAAGGAAAATGTGGCCTTCTGCATAACAGGACAAGACAACGCGAAGAAGGGAGAGCGTCTGCACTCCCTCAGCTGTGGAAGCTTCTGCCCGACCCTTGTGCCAAATGCATTTCTTCACACTCACCAAGGGCAACCAACTATTGCAATGACACCTGAGCCACGGAGGAAGCCAAACTAGTGCTCTGCATAAGCCATTCACAGACCTGGAATGCATACAGTGTGTCACAAGTCCCGTCCATCATGACCTAACCCCCGCCTAGACGCACCCAGGTAGTTATTATTTTCCCTCAGGGTAGCAAGATGGCGGGTAAACAGCTGTGTGGTTCTGTGTCTTGCCTCTTGGGAAATGCGCCACCCCTTGTAAACAGGAATTTTCCTTTGACTTGCGTTCAGACCCCTGGCAACCTCTTTCACGGGGAAGTACGGCAGCATCCAGTACTGTGTGAGAGCGACCCTGGAAAGGCCCGTGGCTCCCAGCCAGACTGTAAAGAGAGAGTTCCAGGTTATCAACCACATTGATGTCAATTCACCAGCTTTACTGGTAAGGGCCGCTCCGGTTACGCTTCTTCCATTCTCCCCCAGCCATAACTGTTTGTTAGTCTGGTCTGTTTGCTTTCCTGACTTCTCAGTGCCTGTAAGCTCCCTCCTAAGCGTTCTCTATAAATAGCCTTCGGTTGCTGAATTGCACATGCTGACTGGTGGTTTGGGGTTTTTTTTTTAATACTACTGATATGCATCCCTATCCAGCACAGCTGTTCCTGCCAAAAAGTTGAAGCCGGATTGCTCTGATAGGCATTCGTGGAAGCTGGGAAGAACGTACTTTGACCAGACTAACTACATTTATAATTCACAAGAACCCCAAGCCCCCTAGCCTGGTAGTAGTGAGCTATAAAACAATAAATGGAGAGAGCTATTAATCATTCCCAGACTATGATTTACACTCTGGCAGTCTGCGTCTTTTCATTTTTGTGTGCCGTTTCCCAATATTGTGCATGTATACATGGGTGGACTCGCTTCCGATCCCCTTCAGTTAGAAGAAGAAGAAGAGGTTGGATTTATACCCCACCCTTCACTACCCAGAGGAGTCTCAGAGCGGCTTACAAACTCCTTTCCCTTCCCCTCCCCACAACAGACACCCTGTGAGGTAGACGGGGCTGAGAGAGCTCTGACAGAAACGGCTCTTTTTCAAGGACAGCTCTTATCAGAACTATGGCTTGCCCAAGGTCACCCAGCGGCTGCAAGTGGAGGAGTGGGGAATCAAACCCAGAGTCTGTGCACCCAACCACTACACCAAACTGGCTCTCAAACTGGCTGTATTTTCTTACAGCATACTTGCTTACATTAAAACATTGGACATCTAGTCATTGGAAATACTGTACTGTGGAGAACTAGATCAGGATAAATGCTGCAGGGAAAAAACATATGGTGGAAACTAATCTCATCAGATTTTGAAAGCTAACCAGGAATGGCCCTGGTTAGTAGAAGAAGAAGGGATTGGATTTACACCCCACCCTTCACATAGAGTCTCAGAGCAGCTTACAGTCTCCTTTCCCTTCCCCTCCCCCACAACAGACACCCTGTGAGGTAGGTGGGGCTGAGAGAGCTCTCTCGAGAATGGCTCTTTAAGTACCGCTCTGAAAGAACTTGTGACTGACCTAAGGTTGCACCAGCAGGCTGCAAGTGGAGGAGTGGGGAATCGAACCCGGTTCTCCCAGATGAGAGTCCGCGCTCCTAACCGCCACACCACACTGGCTCTCAGATGGGAGGCAACCAAGGAAGTCCAGGATCATTGTGCAGAGGCAGGCAATGGCAACCCACTTCTGTTCACCTCTTGCCTTAGAAAGCCTAAATGGCCACTGCAAGTCAGCTGCGACTTGACAGTACTTTGTCCCACCAACGAACTAGATCCTTCCTTGCATTCTCAGGATGGTGCCTGAGGGTGAATACTTAAATCTGGTGGTGGGGTTGTATTGTATTTTTATTAGGCTTCTTTGGAGAAACTTGGACCATTTAACTTTTCATCATCATTTCGGTGAAACAAGGCTGTATTTTTCATTATTCGGTGATGTTTCCCCTGGTCGCAGTTGCCTCTGTTTTCTTTCTAAACATCAGAAGTAAAGCTTAAATGGCTCTTTGGCCTGTGTAAAAGATTAAAGTTTCTTGCTTTCTGTGCGAATGATTATAACCTTGTCAGATCATCGGCAGACTTTAATATTTAGGTCTGTTGTGCATTTGGGCCTTGCTGGTAATTTTCTAGCCTCCAGAAAAAAATGCATCAACCTGCTTACCAATATAGACAAGAATGTTAAAAAGCCTCTTTGGGGATGAGGTGGGAGGAATCTTTAATGTGTAGCTGCTGTTTCTCACCCTAAGTGCCAGTTATTAGCAAAAATAGCTACATCAGAGCTGTACAGGCTTTGGAGGGAGGCAGCGACATTTCTTCTCTTTCTTTGTCTGAGTCGGGATTTGCTAAAACCGAGCCCAGAATTTGTTTTTACTGCTAGAGCTCCAAGTCGAAGAACGTGTGGAATAATAGATCTTCTCTGACTATTAGTAAAGTGCTTTACTTTTACTTAGACTTTAGAAAAGCCCCATACAGAAGCAGTTTCCATGCTGTTTTGCCACTTCTTTAGCAAAAGCCAGCAGCCATTTAGGGTTCTTCTGCACCTGTCTTGTCTCACTGCCTCTGGACAAGGGAGACCTGAAGAGATTAAGCAAATACCTTCCGAATCCAGAAGCCCCACTCTGGAAGAAGGCAATCCACAAACTGTATTTTAATTTAGAAAATCTTGATTTGCAAGACATAGCAGGAGGCTCCTAGCCTGACATAAAAGCTGACTAGTGTTCAGTCCACAGTGAACTGGGACATGCAGTGGATTCTCTTCTTCTCTTTATTCAGTGCTAGACAATGTTTTGCAGATCAGAGAAGCTTAAATTGCCAGTTGGGACAATTACTAATGACCAGGGTGACCAGGTAGCATGTGAGTGAGAAGCCTATGGTAATGTCCAATAATACCTGTGAGCACTCAGACATTAATTTGTTTTTGTTCATCATCAGGCTTCAGTGTGTGACCGAATACAAATGAATGAATCCGCAATAATGCCAGAGTAATGTCTCAAACACACGATGATGCCTTTTCAAAGCATCAAAAGGGCCATTACAATCCAGAAAGATTCCACAGATTTGACCAAAGACTTGAAGGTCCTCACTGAATTTGGGTTTTGGACAGCAGACCACCACCACCCACCCATTTTGCCAGCTGGTTCTAAAGCTCTCATTTGAATTGTGGCTTGCTAGGGGACTGCTGAAGAAGCACAAGTTTGGAGTTTCCTTGAGGATGTGAAACTGATTTTATAGTTGTTTTTGGATGCAGACCCTGTTCTCTTAATGATTATAGAAATGCTCACCTGTTTTTTCTGGGTGGCTTAGTAGGAACATGTGCTGATTCGGCTATAACCATTTGTTTTATCCAGTAGAATAACTCTGTGTTTAACGCAGATGTTCACAATGCGGAAAATGGCAAATCACCGGGAAGAGTATGGGTTTTAACAAAAAAAAAAGTTAGGGAAAACCTGAAGGTTCTCTTTCTGTAGGAGGTCTGAAATAGGCTAGACAAATGTATAGAGAAGGAAGGACTAAGTAGAGGCTTAAAATGAGTAAAAGGTAAAGGTTTCCTTTGCTTGAAAGCCAGTTGAATCCGACTCTAGGGTTGCGGTGCTCATCTCCGTTTCCAAGCCAAAGAGCCAGCACTGTCCAAATACATTTCCGTGCTCATGTGGCCGGCATGACTAAACACCAAGGCGCACGGAATTCTGTTACCTTCCCACCAAAGCGGTACCTATTTATCTACTTGCAATTTCTCGCTTTCGAACTGCTAGGTTGGCAGGAGATGAGAGCCGGGCTTAAATTACCTGTTGGGTCCTTTCTGTTAAATTTCTCTAAGCTTTGTTTTATAGTTTGAGGTGGGTAGCTATGTTGGTCTGAAGCAACAGAACAAAGTTTGAGTCCAGTGGCACCTTTAAGAATCCTTCTTAATTTTCAGTTTCACTCTTTGACATGCTGTCTCCCAATCTGGTACAGGAGAAAGGACCCAGAAGACAATCCATTAGGTCCTTTTCACCGGCTAGTCCCAAGCTTCTGTAAGATATCTTCTTGAATCACTTGATGACAGAGCTTTAAGTAAACTCAGTGAAAAACTAAAATTTGAAATTCCGCCTCTCTTTTGTTGTTGTTCAGTCGCACAGTCGAGTCCGACTCTGTGACCCCATGGACCACATCCCACCAGGCCCTCCTGTCTTCCGCCGTCCTCTGAAGTTGGCTCAATTTCATGTTCGTTGCATCTGTGACACTGTCTAACCATCTCATCCTTTGCCGTCCCCGTCTTCTTTGACCTTCAATCTTTCCCAGCATCAGGGTCTTCTCCAGTGAGTGCTCCCTTCCAATGCTCCCTCTAAGCTGAGGAGTCTTGTGAGCAAAGGTTCTACTTTGTGAACTCCTGGCACTAAAGCGGTGAGCAAGCAGTTTGGCTACTGCATAAATTAGTTTGCTCTGGAGACATCCTTCCTGAGCTGAGACAAAAATGTGTGAGCCGGGGGCTAAAAAACTGTTAGCTAGCTCACACTAACTCGGCTTAGAGGGAACACTGCTCCCTTCTCATTTGGTGGCCAAAGTATTTGAGCTTCAGTTTCATTATCTGGCCTTCCAGGGAACAGTCAGGGTTGATTTCTTTTACGATGGACTGATTTGGTCCATCAGTGGCTATTAACCACAAGGTATAGATAGGGGCTCTGGGGCAAGTGATGCTCTGTCTTCTTGGTGCTTGGGGGGGGGGGGACAACAGGGGGAGGGCTTCTAATGTCCTGGCCCCACTGGTGGACCTCCTGATGGCACTGGTATTTCTGGCCACTGTGTGATACAGAGTGTTTGACTGGATGGGCCTTTGGCCTGATCCAACATTGGCATCTCTTATGTTCTTATTATCTTCTTGCATTCCAAGGGACTCTCAAGAGTCTTCTCCAGCACCATAGTTCAAAAGAATCCTAGCCCTAGTAGCAGTCATATTTTTCAATAGTAATTAAGATATTAGCTGACCTTGTTCTCCTAAGTGTGGTTAACTTAGCCCTAGAAATATTGCTTTGGACAAACTGGTTGGTCAGGCGTGCCTTATCTGCTAGCTGAATAATTGCTTTGGTCAGGTGAAAGGGTGGCAAGATGTGTGCTTGTTATGGTTTGTTTTCTGGGCTAAACTCACAATTGACTTTATGACCATTATTCAAAATCATTTGGAAAGAAGTCCAACTGAGGGTGCTTTCTCAAAGAATACCCTCCTTGGTCTTAATACTGGATAAAAGGCATATTGTCTTCTAGCCTAATCTCAGGAACCCGAGAGCCGGCATGGTGTAGTGGTTAGAGCGTCAGACTAGGATCTGGGAGACCCACGTTTGAGTCCCCATTCTACCATGGAAGAGGCAAACACGGCGGCGACCCCTCTGCAATTCTCAAACATCTGAGCCTTTCTGTTTAAAGACAACTGGGGGGGGGGGAATGGGTGACCTTGGTCCAGTTGCACACCCTCAACCTAACCTACCTGCCTGGGTCGTTGTGAGGATAAAATGGAGGGAAGGAGATCAATGTAAGCCAATTTGGTTCCCCATTGGGGAGAAGGGTGGGATCAGTGTTCCCTCTAAGCTGAGTTAGTGTGAGCTGGCTCGCAGTTTTTTAGCCTCTAGCTCACACATTTTTGTCTTAGCTCAGGAAGGATGGCTCCAGAGCAAACTAATTTACGCAGTAGCCAAATGGCTCGCTCACAACTTTAATGCCAGTCTCTCACGAAGTAGAATTTTTGCTCACGAGACTCCACAGCTTAGAGCAGGGGTGTCAGAGATGCGGCCCGGGGGCCAGATCAGGCCCCCGGAGGGCTTCCATCAGGCCTGCAGTGGAACTAGCCATCTTCTGCTTCCAGTTCTGCTGCTGCATCATAGCTTGCTTCGCCAGACTCTCTTAATCACTCAGTCATTTCATGTTTTAACCTGGGTCCTAGGTTCAGAACTCTGAGCATGAGATTTCTGTGATGAATGTCAATAGGTTTGCAGCTTACAGAGTAGGTTTGCGGCTTACAGAGCTAATGTTTTAAGCATGTTTTTATTTTAAGTAAAAAGAATCTTTGTGTTTGTGTCCTTTATAAAGTTTATATCTCCGCTACCTGGCATTACATTTTATGACACACGTGGCCCGGCCCAACAAGTTCTCATTTATGTCAGATCCGGCCCTCATAACAAATGAGTTCGACACCCCTGGCTTAGAGGGAGCATTGGGTGGGATACAAATTAAGTAAATAGATAATCCGTAAATAATGATTGATTCCGTAAGGCTGTCTGGGGTTGCAGCTCAGTCTAAGGTGGACATTTCATGGAACTGGAGAGGCTGACCGATTTACGTGTGCCTTGCTTTTTTGTCTTGCTCATGCTCGCAGTGGATTCCTAAAGGAAACATTTTGGCTTTCCTTTTAGCATGTAGCCTCCGTTGTCAGCTGAGGCTCTTTCATGTTGATAAAGATGGAAGAATCTGGGTCCCTTTTAGCAAACGGAAGGGAAGGGCAATGGATATCTTATCTGGCATAGCAGTTGTTGCTTCCAGCCTATCAGCTGCTAAGAGAAGAATCTGTTAATCCCTATTGTCTTAAATGGTGCTCTAGCAAATGCTTAGGATAAAAGCAAGAACAGAGAGTGCAGGTAATCTGCAGTTCCTTTTTACTTTGTGCGTCTGGACCATATAATTGTAATAATTGCTGTGAACATCTGATAGGTTTCAGTTGTTGACTTGGGATGTCACGTAACCCCAGCAGGGGACAATAAGGAAGTGACTCACATTGGGCAAAAATCTGCACAGGAACAGGCGTCTGAACTAGCAGTGACTCCCCGGGAAAGAGATTGTGGTGGATAATTAAACTAAAACCACGCTTCTGTGCAGCAGCCCTAGGGGAAAATCCAGTGTTAAGCTAGAGATTAGGGGAGAAAGGATAGAAAATAAACCTGCCAGGAGCAGTAATGCTTTTGTATATGGATCTGTTTTGAGGTTGCATCTGGAATACCTTGTGGAGCTCTGATCACTTGGTCTCAAAAATGATAGGGGGGGGGGACGAGCTCAGAAAAAGGCAACTGAAATGGTCAAAGGCTTGAAGCATCTTCCTCTGAGGGTATGGTTAGTCTTTTGGTGTAGCCAGTTTGGTGTAGTGGTTAGGAGCGTGGACTCTAATCTGGGACTCTAGGAGTGCGGGCTCTAATCTGGGAGAACTGGGTTTGATTCCGCACTAATCCACATGCAGCTGCTGGATGACCTTGGGTCAGTCACAATTCTCTCAGAGCTGTTTTCTCAAGACCAGTTCTCGAAAGAGCTCTCTCAGCCCCACCAGAGTGTCTGTTGTGGGGAGAGAAAGGGAAGGAGAGTGTAAACTGCTCTGAGACTCCCAAGTGAAGGGCAGGGTATAAATCCAATCTCTTCATCCTCTTCTCTCTTCTTGAAGCATGCCACTGGACTTTTGTGTTATTTTGCTACAAGAGAGAAACGCGGCTACCCCTCTGCAATCATCAAACATCTGAGCCTTTCTGTTTAAAGACAACTAAGGAGGAACAGGACAGACATATAAAATTATGCATGGCTTGAAGGAGTGGATCGAAAGACCTTCTTCCAAAGTAATAGAATACAAGAGTGCGATGGGCAGTAGATTCGGGACAGACCAATTAAAGTACTTCTTCACATAACATGTAATTAACTTATGTAATTCATTGACATAGGATGTAGTGATGACTTGAAAAGTTAATTAATGAGGCACATTTATAAAAGAGGAAGTCCGTTAATGGCTAAATGGGGCCTCCACGTTCAGAGGCGGATGACCTCTGAACGGGAGCTGCAATAAGGGGATGCTTGTGGTATCTGGTTGTCTACTGTGGGGAAAAGATGCTGGACTAGATGGACCTTTATCAGTCTTATCTAGCAGGGCTTGTTGCCAGCAGCTGTTCTGAAGGTCAGTTCAGAGGGTGGCCATGGTAGTCTGTGGTAGAAGAGTTACAGTCCTTACTTAGAATCATTGAGTTGGAAGGGACCTCCAGGGTCATCTAGTTCAACCCCCTACACAATGCAGGGAATTCACAACTATTCCACACACACACACAGAGTGACCCCCCCTGCTTCCATGTCCAGAAGATGGCAAAAAATCTCCAGGTTCCCTGGGCAAACTGGCCTGGGGGGAAATTGCTGCCTGACCCCAAAGTGGTGGATCAGCATTTCCCTGGGCGTGTAAAGAAAGGGCCACAAGAACTAAGCACTGAGGCAACCCTTCCCTGCCCTCCTTCTCATGAACTGCCTAAGTTCACAGAATCAGGATTGCTGTTAGATGGCCACCAAGCCTCTGTTTGAAAACCCCCGAAGAAGGAGAGCCCACCACCTCTCGAGAAAGCCCGTTCCACTGAGGAACCACTCTGTCAGGAAGTTCTTCCTAATGTTTAGCCGAAAACTATTCTGATTTAATTTCAACCCGCTGGTTCTGGTCCGACCTTCACCATCCTCTATATGACAGCCCTTCAAGGACTTGAAGATGGTTATCTTATACCTTAAGAGACCAACAAGATTATCAGAGGATAACCTTTAAGAGTCAAGACTCCCTTTGTCAGATATGAGTAAGAATGGAGATCTCCGAGTGTTTATATGCCAGTCAGTAGACGGGAGGGGTGTTGTAAAGAAGGAACTCAGGATGCAGAGGTACAATGCATATTGTAATCAGCTCCATTAGAGAAGAGGGGAAATGCAGAAAATTAGCATCTGTAGCGAGAGAGCAGCCCCGGGGGGGGGGGGGTCCATTGTTCCGAACTTGTGAAGGAACTCAAGTTCAGCAATCTCTCATTGTAATTTGCTTCGTTGGAGGGCTGCTACTGTTCTGAAGGTGTAGCTGTTCTATTATACAAAAAGAACTGTGGTCACGTATACGTAGGCTGCATTTAGTCTAGGGAGCTGTGTATAAACACTTTAAATAAATTTAGTGAAATTGGGTGCACAGCGGATCAAGGCTAGTGTTGCCAGTCGGACTCTTGTTCTGGTATATTGTCCGGCAGTGGCTTGCTGTTACTTGCAGGTCTGAAAATGGCTGGTTTATGGAGCCTTATTTTCAGTGCATGTCTTTTTGTAGACCCCTGTAATACGAAACCAGGAGAAGATGGTCGGCTGCTGGTTTTTCACTTCTGGCCCGGTCTCTCTGAGTGCCAAAATCGAGAGGAAGGGATACTGCAATGGTAAGTGTGTCCTCTTCCGTTCGTTAGGTTCCGAAGGGAACTAGAAGTTACATTGGCAAACACAGTGTGCTTGCTGAGACCGTGGGAAATGCATTGGAAGAGTTGCAAGAGAGGGTCCTCGAAGGCTTCCACTGGTTCTTTCCTAGAAATCCTCCCTTGGCTCTTTTCTCCCTCCGCTGCCCCGTTTCACAGCCCGCCTACCGAAGAGATGGGGAGCTGACTTTTTAAAACTGTCTTTCGATACTGCAGACTTTGAATGGATGAAGCCAGGTTCCTCTGAGTCAGACCATCTAACTAAGTATTAAATACTCTACAGTAGGATGTGGACAGAATGGAGCGGGTGCAGAGGAGAGCGATGAGGATGATCGGGGTGTGGAGACCCAGCCCTGTAAGGGAAGGCCGAGGGACTTGGGAATGTTTAGTCTGGAGAAGAGGAGATGGGGGGGGGGGGGACACAATTGCTCTCTTGAAGTATTTGAAGGGCTGTCATATAGAGAAAGGCAGGGAGCTGTTCCTGTCGGCAGCAAAGGATAGGACTCGCGATCATGAGTTTAAATTAAGGGCAGGAAGGTACCGGCTGGATATTAGGAAGAACTTTTTGACAGTGAGAGTTGTGCAACAGTGGAATCCGCTGCCTAGGGAGGCGGTGAGCTCCCCCTCACTGGCAGTCTTTAAGCAGCGTCTGGAGAAACACTTGTCAGGGATGCTCTAGGCTGATCCTGCATTGAGCAGGGGGTTGGACTAGAAGTCCCGTATGGTCCCTTCCAACTCTGTTATTCTGTGATTCTCCTCCAGAGCCCAAAGTGGAAAGAGCCTGGGAAACACATGCTACCTGAAAACATTAGCTGTAGAGATGAGGCTTCAGGTCTACTACTGGGCCCTGGAATTAAAAAGAGGCGTGGAGTGTTTGAACATTATCCTTATAGTAATTAAGTAGCGCTCTCAGTTGTTCAAGTGCTTCACTTTATTTCAGTATAATCCTTACACGGTAATCCTGTAAGGTAGGCAAGTATTTGTGTCTCCCATAGTGCAGACTGAGTTGGGGGGGGGGGGGCGGCAAACCTTTAGTAACCAAGATGAGGCTTGAATTGGTGACCTCCCGGGTCACAGCTCTCTTCTTAGTCACTCCCCCTCAGCTTCCTCAATGCCGATTTCCAGCTGTATCACACATACTGCCTATGTACTAAAGTATGTGGAGCTAAGAATTCCAGTAAGATGTCTGGGGTGGCTTAACAGATGCAATTAGCCAACAGGTCCAATTAGCCAAGTGGAGCCATAAACATTTTAAATTGTGCTTTGGACAAAGTTCTCTGATGGTCGCAAAGGACAATATAGTGTGTCTGATTCAATAAACTTATACATTCTGGGGCTTTTCCCCCCCCCTTCTAGGTGAAGCAATACCAATCTATGCCGAGATTGAGAACTGTTCCTCCCGCTTAATTGTTCCAAAAGCTGCCATTTTCCAAACACAGACTTACCTGGCGAGCGGCAAAACAAAGACTTTCCGTCAGATGGTTGCCAATGTGCGAGGAAATCATGTTGCCTCCGGGAGCACAGATACCTGGAATGGGAAAACACTGAAGATTCCACCTGTCACCCCTTCTATCCTCGACTGCTGTATTATCAGAGTTGAATATTCCTTAGCTGTGAGTATGGATTTTCACCTTAACTCAAATATATATATATATATATTGTTGTGAACCCAGTGGTACAACCAAATAAAAATGCCCGCAGGTCTGTTTGTCTTTTTATCAGATCTTTTTGTGGCATTGTCTGTTCATGGAAATGTTCAGAGCCTGAGATTGTGCAGCTGGATTTGAAGAGGAACGTCTCCTAACAGTCGATGGGCCTGGTTCTATCCGGTGTTCCCATCCTTAGTTCTGGAAACCAAGAAGTATAGAGAGTGTAGTCACTTTTAGCTGTGAATAATAATTGTAATGCCGATACTGAGATGTTTGGCTAGAGTCTAAATGGAGAAAAAGAATCCTGCCCACGCAATGTTCCCTCTAAGCTGTGGAGTCTTGTGAGCAAAAATTCTACTTCATGAGCTACTAGCATTAAAGTTGTGAGCGAGCAATTTGGCTACTGCATAAATTAGTTTGCTCTGGAGCCATCCTTCCTGAGCCAAGATAAAAATGTGTGAGCTGGAGGCTTAAAAACTGTGAGCTAGCTCACACTAACTCAGTTTAGAGGGAACACTGCTGCCCAGTACAGGTGGTATCAAGGTCAGTTTGAAATAGGAAAATTGGTTGTACAAAAACAAGAGGGTAATAGTGGAAGGAAATAGAAGAGTGTTGTAGTCAGATTCTTCGGAAATGGTCTAGGGGACTTCAGGAATGGGTGTGGGGAGGAATAATCTTACTGTGACAGTTCTCAAAGATCTACTTCTAAACTTGCAGTACATCCTGTGACTACTTGCAAAGTAACTTCACGCTGCTTTCCCACTCCCCAGTATAGATGCAGGAGTTTTACATTGGTCTACACTCTCAACAAGTTAATATTTGATTTGCCATACTTTGTAAATAAGTTATGTCGCTGAGCAACAGGTTGTACTTGTTGTTCAAAGGCAAACCCAAACTTGACATTGGTTCTCCCAGAACCATTTCTTCCAGCTCATCCTTTTTGTACTCCTCCTCCATCCCAGCCTCGCAACCCACTGGAAAGAGAGTCATGGTGGCCCATTTCTGGGCCCTGATTTTGGGAACCCCTGTCTTATTGCAAGTCCAGATACTCATGCTTCTGTCCAGAATTGGGTGACTTGTGGGGCCCCTTAATGGAATGGAATGTTTTCCAGCAAGCTTGTCTCCACTTCCTTTGTGCTTCCTGAGCAATCTCTTCTCTCCTGCCACAGGTGTACATTCATATTCCTGGTGCTAAGAAATTGATGCTTGAGCTGCCACTGGTGATTGGCACAATTCCATGCACGGCATTTTCCAGCAGAAACTCCAGCCTCGCCAGCCAGTTCAGAATGGACATGAGCTGGCTGGCACTGAGTATGCCTGAACATCCAGAAGGTGTGTACGTGGGTCTGGAGTTTTAACTGATCTGGCTTATTCCTGTCACCCCAAGGCCCCGGTCACACGGAGCATTAGGCACGCCAGAGAGACGGATTTTCCGGGCGCAATCTCACCGCCACATCTGGGAAGCGTAGAGCTCCCGTGGCTCACCCGAGGCTTCACTCCGAAGATGCGGGGTAAAAAACTAGTACCCCCGAGGTACTGGTTTCTGGAAACCGTGGGGCAAGGGCGGGCGTCAGATCACGTTTCCGGTGGTAGTTCCGGCGCCCGCCCATGTCCCCTCGCTAAAAGTGTTTTTTTTGTCAAGTCTCCACAAGTGCGCACAAGCACCCAACGGCACATGCAAACACTTGGGTTTAAAAAACAACACAACCCCCACGGCGCTGCTTCTTTGCCGCGCCGCAGGAGTGAGGTATGATCGGCACCTCCCCCCAACCACGGGACGTCGGGCGGGACGTTTGATCCGGCTGCCCGTGCGGTAGTTCGCTCCGGGGCAAACAGCCACGCCTCCCCCCCGCGATATCCGGCCCATGTTTTTTTTTTTATTCTTATGGGGAGCCAATTTCAAATTCAAAACCTTTAATGACATATGGCGTAAATTAGAATGAGATACAAACAAAGTCTTAAGATAGATAAAATCAGATAAAAAGTACAATCTAAAAGAATAATTATAGTAATAGCAAGAAAACAGTGCCTAAAAGCAAAATCAGACAGTTAGTCATTGGCTATACCTAGAAAAGGATAACCCTTGTGCAATACTATAGCCAAGTAGTCGGCCACTAATTCCATCAGTCAAGAGGATTTATCAGCAAGTAAATACCGGGTAATTCTTTCTGGAGAACCAGAAAGGTTAGAAATGACAGGATCAAGATATTGCTGACAAATCTTACAAGACATAGGACAGTGAAGTAGAACATGAGTATCTGAATCAGGTTCCAGTGAACAATATTTACATAACATGTTCTCAAAGGGGGATGTTGTGATATCTACTTGAGAGAACAGCTGATGGAAAAATATTCAGTCTGGCGAGCACGAAAGCCCAATGCTGTCGGGAGCAATGTTCCCTCTAAGCTGTGGAGTCTTGTGAGCAAAAATTCTACTTTATAAGCTACTGGCATTAAAGTTGTGCATGAGCAATATGGCTACTGCGTAAATTAGTTTGCTCTGGACCCATCCTCCCTGAACAAAGACAAAAATGTGTGAGCCGGAGGCTAAAAACCTGTGAGCTGGCTCACACTAACTCAGCTTAGAGGGAACACTGGTCGGGAGCTAGTAAGATTTTGCATGTACATGGGGGGGGAGCCAAGTTAGTGTGTAGTAGTAGTGGAACAAAATTGTTGTCCAGTAGCACTTTAAAGACCAACAAGATTTCCCACGATTATCAACTTTGGTAAGTCAAAGCTCCCTTGATGGATGTCTGATGGTCAAGGTTGGCATTTAAAAAAAAGAAAGAAAAAGCGAAAAGCTTGTTTTAGTGCTCAATTAATGCAGGCAGGACGAACCTTCTCAGGCTTGACTGTCCGTTTCGACTTTTCGTCTTTATCAAACGTCAGTTTGTAGAAGTCTATCTTCAATACATAATTTTCATCAATATGTGCAAGTATTCAAAAGTGGCTACTTCAAGCTCTCAAGATAAACAGTTCCCTTCAGGGTAATGCAAAATAACATCTGTCTTTGCTATTTAAATTGCTGGGTCCTATTCTTTTAGTGCTCAATTAAGTCAGAAATTCAGAGATCACTGCTTTAGATTTCTTTGGTGTACTGTCTGTACCAATTTGTAGCCCTTCTTTCTTCTCAGGCATGTGACAGGTTTATTCAATAATTTGACCACAGTTGCTTCTTCTGCCAACTGATCCACAAGGTTCTCCCTCGTTTTGTTGATCTTTAAGGGGCCGGGGGACTCAGCAATCCCTCACGAGGCCAGCGTGACGCAATGGTTGGAGCTTTGGTTTCAGACTGGGGAGAACTGGGAGGAAACCGCCACTGGGCAAGTGTGCCCAATGTGGTGTGGTGTTTAGATTGTCAGGCTAAGATATGTGGGAGACCTGGGATGAAATCCCCACTATGCTGTGGAAGGCAATGGGGGGGGGGGACTTTAGGCCAGTCATTACACTCACTGAACCTAACCTACCCCGCAGAGTTGTTGTGAGGATAAAATGGAGGAGAGGAGAAGAATATACACAGGTTTGGATTCCTGGGGGAGAGAAGGGGGGGGGGGATAACATAAAGAAGGCTGCTAGTGTGTCTGCTAGTACGCACAGGCCAGGTGTTACCTTATAGTCAAACCTACCTCATGAGGCCATGAGAATGAATATCTATGTATCTAATAGTGAACTGGCCCCCTCTGTGCGGATCCTTAAATCCAGACATCGGGGGCACTTGGGGGGGAGGGAGAGGTTTGTGCACACGTGGGGCAGTCCCCACGTGTGCACAAAAATCCTATATGGTGACAAAAATTTCGGGGGGATGTTTAAATCCCCCCAAAAGTGCCAGAGCGTTCTGTGCGCATGCGCACGAATGCTCTGTGACCGAGGTCACCGCCGCCACCGCTTGGAAGGGAAGCGGCGAGCGGCGAGCGGCGAGCCAGGAGGGGGGGCCAGAGCAGCGAGAAGCCAGGGGAGGGGGAAAAAAGCTGCCGCCGCCACCACCGCCGCCGCTTGGGGGGGGGAAAGGCAAGGGGGGGTGGAGGACATGGGGAACCAGCGGGATGGGGGGTACTTACCTCCTCCTGCTGCTTCCTCTGCCTCCCCCCCGCGAGGAGGGCCGGCTGGACAGCGCTCTTGAGGAGCGGGGCGGGCTCCCTCTCCGGGCTGTGGGGCTCGGAGCCGGGGGGGGGGAAGAGAACAAGTGGAGACCCAACTAGAACACAGTAGGCAACATTTTGTTGCGGGTCTCCACTTGTCATATCTATTGAAACCTCTTTGGCAGGTGGGGAGGGAATGGAACCCCAACGTAGTATATTTCGGTAACGTGTAATGTGTTAAGTTATAGATTCCAGTGCTGCTTATATGCACCATTATTTTATGTTAAGATCTGAAATCCAGAGATTAACACTTCCTGCGGTTATAACCTGTGAGACCTGTACAGTTCTGCCAGGCCTTTGGCTGAGGCAGTGGGCATCTACCCCAGCCGGCCTCTCTGTTGCTGCTGCATAACATCATTCTGGCTTGGCGTTGGCCCATTTGTCTCTCGGCTGTAGAAACTGGAATCGAATGTACTGCACTGCCCGTTTTAAATGTTTTATATGTGGCTTTATTGTACTATCTGATTGCATTATTTTATAAATGTATTCTGCTCATTGCTGTAAGCTGCCCTGAGCCCGTTCGCGGGAAGGGCGGGATATGAATCGAATAAATAAATAAATGGATAAATAACTTGGGCGATGGGAGAGAACAAAGAAGGTAGTTAGTCAAGTAGCTTAGCTGGTGTGCTTGTCTCCTTTTACCCTTTGTAGCACCACCCAATTACGCTGATGTTGTATCAGAGGAAGAGTTCTCAAGGCATGTCCCTGCTTACCCTCAGCCAATGGACTGTGAAGAACAGCTGTGTTGTCCAGTGTTTGCCTACATACAGGAGTTTCGGTTTCAGCCCCCTCCTCTATATTCAGAGGTAAATTCAAATGTTTGATTGCCTCCAGTTTCACACATGCGCATCTCTATATATAATAATTCTGTTTTGGAGTGGCAGCATTCCATGCACTCCCTCAGCCACTGGCCTGTCAGCCGCCACTCAAGAGTACTTGCGCGCCATTGGCCAGGTGCTGGGTCTGCTCCTCTTCCCCGCCCACTCCCCCTTCAGCCACTGTGCCCTGTCAGAATTACTGGCAAACGGCTTTCTCTCTTGAAGAAGACGCTTCTGCTTGCCTCCCGTGTGGGACTAACTGTTCCCTCAGTGACTGTTGGTAGGTATCACGAAATGGCAGTTACCTGTGTTTGTAAGATGGTTGTGGTTCTTTCTTTAAAATGTTCCTTCATAAGGTTTAATTGAGCTGTAGTTCCAGAGGGGGGCCTGCAACTCACTGGGTTGAACGGGGCTTCCTCATCTGCTGGCCTACACTTCCCAGCTACCCCAAGGCCAAAAAGTTTGGGAAAACAGGGACTGTCCCAAGGCAGTCTTCATCCCTGGGAGGCAGCAGAAATTCAGCCACTCCACAGTTGACTGGACTGGGGAATGAATGGAAGTTTCCCTGCCCACAACCTCCAGAGGTAGAGAGTATTGTGTGTAGGAAAAGATGGTTGCATTTAACTCCTGTTGGTTCATAGTCTGTGCTTACTCCTACAGTGTGTGTGTGCTCCATAACTAGTTAATAGTTATGGAGTTAAATAGTTAATAAATAAATTTATTTAACTGTGTAAATAGTTAAATAAATTCTTTTATTATGGGTAATAATCTGTGTTGTGCTCTGACCACATAGTCTCCCTTGCTCTGCACAATACCAAAGGGAGGGGGTAGCCCAGGGAAGCAAGGAAAGGCCAGACCCTTGGGTTGCCAACTTTCCAGGGATTCCCCCAAAGATTGGGGATTCCATCTCCAAATAGGGAGATTTGGCCAGAGGGGTCTCACTGTCCCCCTAAAAAGGCAGTGACGATTCTGTGAGTGGTGGCAGCGAACTTAAGGAGTGAGATACACCCACAGGACGAGGGTGGGAGGCAACCGAGCTTGGTTCAGACAAAGGAAGGAAACCCTTTGCAGGCCTTTGTGAGAAACTCATTGGGGCCAGTCCTGAGTAGAGTTGCCATCTCCAGGTAGGGAGATTCCTGGAGATTTTCTGGTAGAGTCTATGGAAGCCAGGGTTTGGGGAGGGGAGAGGCCTCAGCTGAACAGAATGCCATACAGCCCACCTTCCAAAGCAGTTATTTTCTCTGGGGGGGAGAGATCTGTTGTCTGGAGTTCAGTTGTGATACCTGGTGATCTTTGGGCTCCACCTGGAGATTGGCTGCCCTAGGCGTAGCAGTCAGTGCTTCAGAGCAGGGTCTGCTAAATCCAGGTTCTTGCTGTAGAAGCTGAGTGGGTGATTTTGGACCAGTCACAGACTTTCAGCCTAACCTACCTCACAGGGTTGTTGTGCAAGTCAAATGGGGGAGAGGAGAATGATGTAAGCTGCTTTGGTCCCCATTGCAGAGAAAGACTACTTTCCCTCCTGGGAATCCATTGTTGCCAATCTCCAGGTGAGTGCTGGAGATCACTCAGAATTACAACTGCTCTCCAGATGGCAGAGATCAGTTCCCCTGGATAAAATGGTGGACTCTGTGGCAGTCAGGGCTTCAGAGCACAGAAGAGGCTGCAGGTGTGTGTGTGGGGGGGATGGAAAGCTGAAGAGAGAGGGGGAAATAAAGGTAGGTTGATGATTGGCCGTGAAGGAGAGAGAGTTGCCAACTCCAGGTGGGAAATTCCTGGAGATTTAAGGGATGGAACCTGGAGAGGGTGAGGTTTGAGGAGGGGTGGGACCTCAGACAGGTACAATGCCATAGACTCCACCCTCCAAACCAGCCATTTCCTCCTGGGTAACAGTTGTCACCAATCTCCACGTGAGGGCTGGAGATCACTGAAAATTACAACTGCTCTTCAGGTAGCAGAGATCAGTTCCTCTGGAAAAAACGGTGGACTCTGTGTCATTATACCCTGCTGAGGTCGCCACAGCACATTGACGTTGAGTGCCCAAGGCCTTGGCACTCTCCCAGAGCCTCTTTCTGCAGCTTGTTGTATTTATTTCCACAACGGGCCTTATTCCTAGTACATATATATTATACACACACCCCAGGGTTGCCAGAACCCCCGCTGGTGGAAGCAGGGGTCCCCCACTGCCAGGCCCCACCACCACCCACCAATTATCTAGCCAGCCAGGGGAACTTACCCTGAAAGGGGGGAGATCCAGCTAACATGTCTGTCACTGCCCATGTGGCCCAGAAGTGACATCACGGGTATTTGGGCAAAGACTCTATGGTAGAAGCCAAATTTACCATAGAGGTATTTGGGCAAAGACTCTATGGTAGAAGCCAAATTTACCATAGAGGTATTTGGGCAAAGACTCTATGGTAGAAGCCAAATTTACCATAGAGGTTTTGCCTATACCCAGACCATTGCCCCAGCATGATGGGGTCATTTCTGGGTCACGTGGAATATTGCTGCATGTCAGCTGGGCCTCCCTCCTGCTTATGGTACTTGGCACCCCAACACACACAAACATGCATATACATACAAACACAGAGAGACATAAATCTACTCTAGCACCACAGTTACGTCAATATCTGCCGTACTAAGTTGTTGGGTTTTTTTCTGTTCTCTGCAGGTGGACCCACATCCTGTAGAAGTAGAAGACCGACAACCAGTTTCATTCGTGATTTAATGAGAATTTGAGGAAAGTGGCATCTTAATTCAGGGGGAATGTCTTAATTTTTTTTTTCCCTACTGCCTCTGCTTGTAGCACAACTTTTTCAAATTATTTTAAAAACCCATTTTCATTCTTAGAAACAGGCAGGAGTCAAGGACACTGAACTCTTTTAAGTCAGAATGCATCGTGCCTCTTTTCCAGGAGAGAAGAGATGAATGAGAACGTTGTGGACTAGTTGTTAGGAGAAGCAACTGTGGTCAGATTGCTAGATAACATGGACGTCATCACTACCTGTGATAATCTGAACAGGCCTGAGAAGAAAGAAGGTCTATACAGTGGTGCAAACAATACACCAAAGAAGCTAAGGAGCGACCTCTTGGATTTCTGACTTAATTCAGCATCAAAGATAAGCTTTTGGTTTTGTTTTTTCAAAAAAAACCCCACACAAACTTTGACCATCCAGCATCCATCAAGTGGTACTACTTAAATTCACACTGATTTTGAGGGACTGTAGATATTCCACATAACATTATGAAGGCACAAGCTTTTTACATACAAATGCCTGAACGTTCGCTTCTGTGATAAAGCTGGTTTTTTTGCAGATGCTGTGCACTTTTTCCCCAAAAAGGGAATTGGATTATTTTTTCTACTACTTTGCAGGCATTTTCACACACACACACATACATCTTCAGCTATGGGACTTGATTCAGCAGGGCAGGCAAACGTTCCACCTTGCACTTGACACGATTTTGATCCACTGCCACTAAAAGTGCTTAGTCCAGTATCTGCTTGGTTGAACTTGGCCAGAGCGCTTAGCACTTGGGAAGAGTGTGTTTATTGATCTCTTGTTGCCAGCAATGGATCTGTGTCTAAAAGCCTTTTTAAAAGCCTACCTCTCTTTAGAAATGGAATTGGAAACCAAGAAATATAATTCTCCAGACTTGGATTTGTCTCTGTTCAGTTCCTCAGAGTAATCAATACAAAAGGTAAAGGGAAGAATTGTAAATATACCCAGCTTGGCTGCAGGCTTGCATTTAAAGATCTGGGGCTTGGGTGGAGAGAATATACTTTGATGAATCATAATTTGTCAGGGAGACTTCTCTATAAAGGCAAAAGACTGTTGTGCTCTCTGGAGCAGTCTGATTTATCAGGGCATTTGCCATCTCTTCTTTTCAGAAGTGAGCAAAGTCTTATTTTGGTGCAATACACTTTATTTTTGTTCCTCCATTAACATGGCTGGACTTTGCTGCTAAAGGCAAAGGCATGGCAACTTGGGGGTGCTTCATTCATCTCAGAAAAATGCTGTAACACAACTTCTTTTCAAGCAGTTTCGCAGGTTTGAGAAATCTGAGTTGATAGTGCAACAGTTAACTCCCAGTCTAACCCCAAGACAAACGTTAATTCTGCCTAGGGTTGCACTGTAATTGTATGAGCTTGAACCTGCATAGAAGTATGCGGGGGGGGTGGTGTTGATCTGAGATTGGCAAAGCGTCCTTTGCTTACACTGGGCACGCACACACTTCACACAGTCCTTGTCCCCACCCTTCTGGGAGATAAAAAGAATGTTTCTCCTAAGATGGCAACTGCCATCTATGCTTTGTATAAGTGCGCGCGCACACACACACACACATATATATATATATGTTTCCAATTAGCCCTATAAATTTGGGGCACGGATATGAATCAGGTTTGTTTTGTTTGTTTTGCCATCATGGCTGATTTATGGTGGCCTCATGGAGTTTTCAAGGCAAGAAATGTTCAGAGGCGGTTTGGCATTGCCTGCTTCTGCATAGCGACCCTGGACTTCCTTGGTGATCTCCCCATCCAAGTATTACCCAGGGCTGACCCCGCTTAGATTCTGAGTTCTGAGAAGATCGGGCTAGCCTTGGGCTATTTGGGCCAGGCCCGCTGATGGGTAATGAATAGATCAGCTGAACTCGAATGGTGAAACCCTAATATATAGGGCAGAAGCCCAGTATGTGAAACAGTCCATGCTCTGCCCTACTTTCTTTCCCCCAGACTAGATTTATTTCCTATTGATTGGGCCATTGTGCTCATGATGAGACATAATTCACTGGGGCCGCAGAAGTAAGAAACTCTGTGCCTCTTCTGATGGAGTGCTGCACTTATGGAGAGGGATGGATTTATTCGCGTGACTGTCAGTGACTGGTGAGGGGAGGAAGGTATCTCCTTGGCTCACAGAGCTTCAATCTGCCATTAAGCAATCACATTCTTGTGCCTGTGTTGCACCGATAGCAGCCAAAACCCTAAATACCTAGGATTTTTTAATCTCTCTCTCTCTCTCTTGTTTTTTTTTTTGTATTAATGTGTTATCTGTTTGGAGCTTAGGCATTTTGTGTTTGGTTTTGGTATCAGCCAGATAGGGTGGAATGTGAAGAATACAATGGAAGAAAAGGTTCGAAGACGTGCAGTGGTGTCTGGGCAGAGTTTTGAGGTTTACAGATAAAAATGGGGCAAGGCGGTCTTTGAGAGTGCAGCCGCCAGTCTCTCTCGTCCAGGAGCAGGCTCCTCCCCCTCCCCCCGCAGCAAATGGTGGACTTTGCACAGAATGGAAACAGAGCTATAGTTGGCAACACGCCCACCAAGGTGACAATGTTTGTATATTGCCCTGTTAATTTTATTAAAATTTCAATTTTAAAAAAAAACAATCATGGTGGATAAGGGGTAGGGCACTCTTATCTTGGCAGAAGACAGTTTGGGCGTCCGTATGCAAACAGGGACCTGGAATAGATTGTGGCAGTAGTGAAGGGGAGATGGGGTTTTTGGGGCTCCCCTAGCATGCCATGTTGTTTTCTGTTCTGTTCCCCCGCCCCTCAATAACAATGAACAGAAACTTATTCATTAGTATGGGAGGAGAAAGGGTAACTCTCTGGACCCGTTCAGGTAGATAAAACTTCACCATACACGAATGATTGCATCTGCTAAACAGAGAAACTGTCTGCAAAGCCTTCCTCCTCCTCAGTTCTGTTTCTTGGAGACAAAATGTTGGGAAGAAGAGAAGAGGCTGGACGAATATTTGTCCGAGATGCATTAGGCTGGTCCTGCATTGGGCAGGGGGTTGGACGACATCGTCTGTATGGCCCCTTCCAACTCTGTGGTTCTGTGAATCTGCCGGTGCGGTGCTCCTTCATGTGACAAGCGAGAAAAGTCTGAACTGCCCTGCTTGCCCCCAATGTGGGGAGCATGCTCTTAAACTAGGCTCTCTGAACGTGAAAGCAAAAGGCTTCAGCCCGAAACTACATGGCAGACTGCATGCGTGTTTGTAAATAGCTTTCTGGGAAACAGCATCGTTTTAAAACCAAATCCCTGGTGGGGTGGGGTTATCTCACACTTGTTTTGTTTTGTAAGTATATTGTTTTTAAAAAACCACTGCACCCAAAGGGAACAGAATAACCTTTATCCACTACTTTACTTGAATAGCAATAACATGGCTGTAACTTGCATGTCTTGAAGTGCTCGAGCAAGGATGAACGTTAGGTGCTCTGCCTTGATAGACTTATCATACCAATTAGGGCTGGCTGTTGGTATCACTGCTGTCACGCAATACATGGGCACGTGTCAGGGTGCAAAGAGTCAAAATGCTCTTTTATGTAAAATCTCAGATCGTTGCCGGGTTTCTTGCAGATAAACAGTGGCCTTAAGTTGTTTGCAAAAAACCAAAAAACAAATGCTTCTGCAGAAGCATGACATACCTTTTGAAGGGTGGAACTATATATAGCTATCTTGGGGGGGGAAGGAGGTAAAAGAGCAGGAAGGCAAAAGGTAAAAGTATCCCCCCCCCCCTCCCCCCCGGATATGCCAGTCTTCCATTTCAAATTGCAGCCTCAAGGGTTGCATCATATTGAAAAAGGGCCAAAAAAAATCCAGAACTTGCACATGTTTGAAACTGGAAAAGCAAAGCTCTTCTCTATCCACCCCTTTACCTAGATTTATAGGGCAGAATTTGCCCCTCCACTGTATTTGTTGCACAATAATTTCAGTATGCAGGGGCTTGTGTATTCTCAACTACTGTAAAACAGTTTAAAAATAAAGCAAAAAAATGGGAAATGATTGTATTTTATATTAATGTATGAGCCCTGTGGGTTCAGTTTTTCTTAATAAAATTATTAAAATGTTACCTTGGTCTTGATTTTTTTAAAGATGTCAGACGTTAAGATGGTATACAGTGGAGTATTTATAAAGAGTGAATATGATCCACTGGGTCTTCTCTGAGCAGAAGAGAAATTGTACCACAGATGAGCTAAATTCTAAAGAGTGAATATGATCCACTGGGTCTTCTCTGAGCAGAAGAGAAATTGTACCACAGATGAGCTAAATTCTATCGCCGTGTGATTTGTGAAGGCAACATTAGGTTACATTGTGAAGGTAATGAAAATGTCTTTATTTGTTTTGCTAGAAAACGCATTGCTTCCTTTTCCACAAACTTCGGTTTTTTCATTTAAAGTCTCGGATTAACTTTGCTTTGTCCGCTATTACCATGGGTTTTGTTCATCTTTCAGGTGCTGTGGGACTCCGGTAGAGAGCCAGTTTGGTGTAGTGGTTAAGTGCTCAGACTCTAATCTGGGAGAACCGAGTTTGATTCCACACTCCTCCACTTGCACCTGCTGGATGACCTTGGGCAAGCCATAATTCTGGCACAGCTGTTTTTGAAAAAAAAGAGCAGTTTCTGTCAAGAGCTCTCTGCCCCACCCACCTCACAGGGTGTCTGTTGTGGGGAGGGAAAGGGAAAGGAGTTTGTAAGCCCCTCTGAGACTCCTTTGGGTAGTGAAGGGCAGGGTATAAATCCAATCTCCTCTTCTTTTCTACTGCTACAGACAGACTAACACAGCGACTCAGATCTTGCCTGCCATTAATATTTATAATTTCCTACCCCTGCCAGCTTGCCAAAGAACACTCAGTTGAACTTTTCTAAACCGTGTTCCAGTGTTTTTAAATAATGGTTGCAGCACTGTCCTTCCTGGTTGGTGGGGGGAGGGGGGAATGGTCAACTCAGACTGGCCGCTGCCCTCTAACGTCTTACATCAAGGTGGGAAGTGTCAAGTCGCAGCTGGCTTATGGCAACCCAGTGGGGCAAGAGATGTTCAACCTAGTGGGGCAAGAGATGTTCAGAGGTGGCTTGCCATTGCCTGCCTCTGGCGATGACTGGTCCAAAGTCAACCAGTGAGCTTCCAGGACAGAGCAGGCATTCAAACCCAGGTCTCTGAGATCCTAGTTTGACACTCGAACCACTGCTCTGCACTGGGTCTCCATTGTCGTTGGAGACAGTACTGGACTCCGTGTCACCTGTGCAACTGATGGGCAATAGCTTCTGAACGGATGAACATACAACTGCTTCAGGAATCGACGTGGAATTCACTGGCACAGACTAGTGAAGGGCCGCTAGCTATGGAAGACATGGAGGATAGATCCACCAATAACAGTTCTGAACAAATGGAAATCTCCCAAGTTCAAAGGCAGTAACCCTTTGTGTACTAGTGCAGGCGGGAGGTAATAACAGGATCAAATCTTGGTTTCCATGCCCAATGTGAAAGCTGAATGGTGGGCCACCTTAGGAGACAGGATGCTGGACTAGAAGGACCTTTGGTCTGGTCCCACAGGGTGGCTCTTAATGTAAGTTCTTGAGTAGAGAGACTTCTGCTTTGCTGGGCCCATAACCTGTTGGGGTCAGTGTTCCCTCTAAGCTGAGTTAGTGTGAGCTAGCTCACAGTTTTTTTAGCCTCCGGCTCACACGTTTTTGTCTTAGCTCAGGAAGGAGGGCTCCAGAGCAAATTAATTTGTGCAGCAGCCAAATTGCGCTCTCACAACTTTAATGCCAGTAGCTCACAAAGCAGAATTTTTGCTCAGAAGACTCCACAGCTTAGAGGGAGCATTGGTTGAGGTTACATGGTATAGTTAGTCCAGTAATCACTGACTTTTTAGCAGAGTGCATAAAGCGCAGAGTGCCACAAAGGTGCACAGAGCCACCTTTTCAGTTTAACAGACTAATACTAGTCTCTTTATTCTAGAACTACAATATGGATAGGAAAGATGAGAAATAGGATCGTATTCTAGTCTAGCTAGCTAAGGATGGACTCAGATGGTGAGAGGCCATCTGAGTCATGGTGGCAGCGTGTCCTCCCTTGGGAAGGCACTGCTGATGTTCTGTCAGAACCTACAGCCAACAACGAAGTACACGCATTCAGGAACGGTAATACTATTATTGCAGAGCTATAGATGCAGTAACATAGGCACTGTTAAGAATGGCAGCGGCCCCATGGGCATAATAGGATATAGGGTATTCGTATGCACACACACCCCATAGCACTGGCCAATTAGGCACCCTCCCGCGCACGGGATAAAGCTTGGAGACCGTTAGGTAGCTAAAGCTGAGAACCAACACTCTCTCACGGCACCTAGGGGAAACCCAGACAATACAACTCCCTCCTGCACATCTGTATAGATGAGCATTTCGGCGCAAAGCAGAACAAGCACAGAAAGGAATGCAGGAGCAATTAACCAGACACAGACTGAGCTCCCCAACCCCCATGGCAGCGTAGCGGACATGTTCTCATATGGGCCATGGCATGAAATTGGTCACATTGGTGGGGGGCTGTGGCTCCCATCTCCCTATTGGTGCTTTGCGTAAATAAGCATTTATCTCCTGGAGCCTCCCAGTCGTTTTTGGCCCTCGAGGTTACTTATCATCAGAATCCCTTTAATAGTAGAATTTCAATTTGGAA